ATTCTTGAACGGTATTCCATTTCATTAATTATAAGCCGATGATGCTAAAGTGATATTAAAATCGAAAAGGAATATTTCATCAATCGTAAAATCTTTTTTAACTCTTTAGCTCTTTTAAATGACGGCCTAACCTTTTAATTATAACTTGGCCAGAGAATCTTCTTTGGGAATCTTCAGATTAAAATACAATTATCATACATTTTCTGTTACAATTGATAGTTCACGTTGGATAGATACATATAGGCTGAGGATTTTACTATTTTTATGATTAAATAACATGTAATTTTAATATCTACAAGATCAGGAGCAACTTTTGTGTTAGAAAATGCATTTCATCGAGTTATTAGCTGTTTGGGATATTTTATTAATTGTTTTATTTGTTTCTTAATTTAAAGCTATGTGAGGTTGTGTCGGAAAGACTCAATTTCAGTTAAAAATACTTTATAACTAATGTTTGGATTTACACTTGGACTTTGACATTATTAATGGTTTAAGACAGGGCTGACCACATTTGCTGACGATATAGTTATAGTAGGAAGAAGTATGAGAGACATGGATCATGTTTTATAAGGCTTGCGGACGCAGCAAGTGAATTAGGACTTGTGGTAAACGAGGAAAAAACCAAATATATGTTGATTGGTAAAAACCCTCGAACTATTTAACAGGGAATTCAAATTAATAACCATACCTTTGAGCAAATCAAAGAATTTACATATCTTGGATCGCTAGTAAACGCAACAAATAGGACAAGCGACGAAATGAAAAGACGCATGGCAATAGCAAACAGAACTGTTCAAGGTCCCCAGAAACATTAAAAAAATATATAAAAAACTTGCAGTAAATCCTAATATAAACAAGACCTTAATAAGACCGGTTTTGATATATGGGGCTGAAACGTTGACCTTATCTCAAAATGATGAAAGACTTCTTAGTATTTTTGAGAGCAAAATTCTTAGAAGGGTTCTTGACGTCGTAGAAGAAAATGGTCTATCGCGTCGAAGATACAACTTTGAACTATATCAGTTATACACCGATCCAGATATTGTGAGATTCGTTAAAGTGCAGAGACTTAGATTGGCTCACATTGCTAGGACAACATTTTTAAAACTAGATGGCACAAGAGGTAGAGGAAGACCACGAAAGACATGGATTGATGATGTGGAAGAAGACCTACAGATTAGGGTCAGAAGATGGAGGGAAGTTGCCAGGAATTAGTAGAAATGACGACTTCTTTGTGAGTAGACCAAGATCCACAACGGATTGTCGAGCCACTTATGGTGATAATACACAAATTTTAAGAATACAGTACAGAAAATCCTGAATTAATATATTTATGAATATTATATTATAAAAATACAAATTCTTCTTCTTAACATGCCATACACCAAAGTGCGTAGAAGACTATCTCATTACTAGAATTCTATTCTTGACGGCATGACACAGCTCACCTGTATTGTGTATTCCTGTCCATTCTTGAATATTCCTTAACCAGGATAATTGTTTGCGGCCAACTCCTCTCCTACCTTCGATCTTCCCTTGTAGGATTAACTGTGGTATTTAATATTTTGCTCCTTTCAATATGTGCCCAAGGTAACCAATCTTGCATTTTTTAATTCATTCAAAGAGTTCTCTTTCCACGCCGGCACTATAAAGGACGTCATCGTTTCGAACTCTATCCACCCAAGGTATGCGCATCATTCTTCTCAATGACCACATTTCAAATGCTTCAAGTTTGTTGATAGATGTTTTTTTCAAAGTCCACGTTTCCATGCCATAAAGCAAGATGGACCATATGTAGCACTTGACCATTCTGTATGGTATTTCGAAGTTTAGGTGTTGATTACATAGGAGCGGTCTGAATTTCACAAAAACTTGTATTGCCATTTGTATTCGGGTTTTTATCTCGTGTTGTGGATCTGATTACCTGAATGTTACCTCAATTTCACCTTGAAATTGAGAAAAATTGTCTTCTTTTTTTCCTCTTTATGGCTTTAATAATTGGTTATCTTGTTGATCTAGGTTATGATCTATAGGAAACAAGACTCCATTTTCTATGGCTATGCAATACTGCTATTACTACTATTACATTTATAGTCACTTTGAAATTTAATCTTACTCGATTTAAAAAAAATAAGTATCATCGTTAATTAATAATAATTAAATTAACATAAACTACATCCCCTTCGATAGCCCTGGCGAGATCAGTAAACTATGATGAACAAATTTTAAATGGTTGCGATAAACAATCAAAACAATGTATTTGATCAGGTAAAACTAGGTAAGCCTTACTGATAATTGAAGTTGATAACCATGGTTTAGACTATTTTACGAAACAACGAACAAAACGCATTTTCTACAGGTGCATTGGATCGATCTCGAGTTGCGTCTGTCCCTCTTATCGACGATTACGCTCTTGTGGTTTGCGAGATGGTACTGTAGGAATCAAAGGGATATAGGGAGGACAAATGTATCGATTAATTTACGCAATCATATTTGAATTTAAACAGACGAGATGACATTTATAACTTTTGACATTTATGATGAATTTTGACGTTCGAGAATTTTTCCGCATCGAATTTTAGCATCATTTTTTTATTTTTCTGTTCGTTTTACTATTTTTTATTAACATATATAATTCTTGTTTTACTTTTCATTTAATGACTATATTTAGTTAGTTATTTTTCATGCAGTTTCTAATTTAAAACTGCTTAGGGTAAAAATATAAGATTTCTTATGATTGGAAATATAAGTATTTCACTGTAGAGATAAGAGTAAAATACAATGCCAGTGTAGATGCTTAGCTTCAAAAATTTACAACAAACACGTTAATAAAGCAAATTTTACCTTTTATCATACAGCTATATGAAATTGCGTTGTTTATGTTTAGAATGCATTGCCATATCAATATAAATTGGATGTAATTCCGTAGTGTGCATATTGCATATAACTTTCAAATAATCTCACAACGAAAACAAGTTCTAAAACTAAATTTAAAATAATATTATGTAGAGATAAGAAATGATGTCAAGTTGGTACGAATTATCTCAGCGAAATGTATAGCGAAAACTAAAATTAATTTTTCTCCCTCAAGTGTTATTCTACTTAAAAATGTATAACTAGTTTCAAGAACTACAATAATTTCATATTATATACACGTATATGGAGATAAGAGGAAATTATGGCGGACCAAATAGACTCATATAATATTGAACAATATGTTAACGATCAGATACCATAGAGGAAATGAGCGTCATAGCCTCAATCTAAGAGCCGTTATTAAGTTGCCGTTAGTTCCTGTTATTTCTGATATTAAAAATGGTTAATAACTAAGTCTATCGATGAGAAACTCATTGATTTCGCATAAAAATCTTTTATAGCTATTTAAAAATTTTAAAAGGTATATAATGGGTAGTTGATGATAAAACCGTGAAGAGCTACAGCTGATTTTTTAGAAAGGAACTTCAAATTAAAGCGCGTTGGAAAAATATGCAATATTTTGCCTTCTTTAGCACGTAGAACGTTTATTTTTTATAATGTTCTTATAAATAATAGAAGAATATAAGGAGTATAACTTTTAACGGGTTTTTACCCAGATATTTAGTGGCTCATTACATATGTACACTTAGACACTGATGATGGAACATGAATTCCGAAAACGTTTTGCTGTTGTGATATAGCCCGGAATATAAGGATTTAATTAAATTTTTTGAATTTTTTTATTAAGTGCAAATTATCAGTATCTGGATAATATTATCTGTATTTTCTGGAGCAATTGATCGTACTGTTCGTTTTTTTTTTAATTTCAGTACTATAATCTTTACTCTTGACATTCCACAAAGCCGGTAACGACCGATACACATCGATGTACTATATAAAATACTATCTTTCTTCTCATTTTCCCTTTGCATACATATTTTTTATCGTACCGCGATGTTTACAACAAGAGTGTTAACACGAAACTAAACCAATATTGCGCAATATTATTCACAGACGCCGCATTATTTACAATATTGCTCAATAAAAATCAAAGTCATGTTGATTGACACAATATATTGCGCAATCATTCAATGTGATCTATAGACGATCAATATATTGTACAATATAAATTATTACCCAATACATTGACAATAATATTGACTGTCTAGGGGTCGCTTTAGACCAATATTAATGTCAGAGAACGATACATCATATACATACCTTCAGTAACATATAGAGGATACATCATTTATGTTTTTTAAATACCAAAACATATAAAATCAGAATTTGAGTGTTTATTAAAGGTAAACTAAAAGCACAAACAAATACTTACCATGTCGAAATAGTATTATGAGGTTTTCCCTCATAATTTACTATGGAATCACCAACAGGAGAATTTTACTGTCATCATATCATGTGTTTGTCTTTTTAAAGACGAATTACATGCTATGATTTTTTTCTGACGGATATTCTCAAGTTAAAGTTGATTTCATGTAATCGAATGAACTGTCTTATAAGTAAAGTCGTCACAGGAGCGCAACTCAACAATATTGGCAATATCATTTTAAAGTCGTCTACTTTAAAATGTATAATGTATGTCTGAATTGTCAATATAAATGAGTCGGATAAAATTCAATTATTAGAAGAATTTTTCACTATGTAACAAAAAACAAAATTTGTTTAATTTATTGTTTGTATTTTGAGAACGATTTCCGAAGTGGAAATTGAAACGTCAATAAACGTATTTTTATCTTTAATTGTGGCTTATTTCCAGTCAAATAGTAATTAATATAATATCTAAAGTCATTCAAATGATTTATTATCTTTCATTTCTTTCATTTGACCCTCTATTTCAAATTTTCCTTTTACAAATTATAAAAAATGATCATTTTCCAAGACAAACCAAAACAAAAAAAGATAAAAATATACTTCGTACAGACTAAGACTAATGAACATGCCACATTAGATATATAATGTCCATTACTATACGTGAGTGATTTTTATATTTAAATTATTTCACTCACCATTGGCATCCTTCGCTTCTAGTCCCTCGGCTTCAATAACGACAACACTAAGGACGACGATCGGGGGTTGTTCCTCCCCGGCCACGTTCAGCATATGATAGTGCCTATCAGGAGGCATGCCAAATGCCCTTTGCCCATAAAGATAGAGATCCTCTTTAAAATGTGCGTATTGACCTCCTGGGGCAGGGGCGCCAACCTGCAATAAAACGTTACAAATTTATTAGATTATATTGGGTAGATTTCGCTTGTAAAGGTTTATGTCACGTAGCAATTGGCAGAGTAAGGGAAATTTGTTGTTTTGAATGGACCTTTTCGGAACCTCGGCTTACGAGGGTGTCTATAACATTAAAAGGGTCTGCATTTTGTAAAGTTTAGCAGACTTAAAAACAACTTTAATTTAACACTTATTTTTAAAACATTTCTCGAGAACTTTTCTTTTCACATATTATTTTTAATTCCAATAAAAAAAAGTATTCAGGTGACTCTTGACCTGTAAAAATCGATACGAGTTAGGCAAAAGTTTATAGTGGTGATTAAAAATGGGCTCTGGCCTCGTTTTTACCTACATTATCGTGTATTAAGTGGATAAACTATTGACACAGTATTTAAAAATTAAAATATATAGTTTTAACAATTAAAGTGAATGTTCCACCAGATTTATCGGTGAGTGTTGCTTTTTGTACTGCTACTGTTAATGGTCAAACTATAAACATTCAATATCAGCAACAGCAAATTCAACCATAATACCCAAATGTCCTTGTTCCACAAAATTTAGAACCAAATTCAGCACAAATTTTAAACAACCCACCAACAACAATATATTATCTTCCTAACCAAGTACTATCACAATCTTCATCAAACTGTCAATACAATCATAAAATAATTCCCACAATATTTACATCTCAAAATAAAGCTTCTGATTCTATTAAGATTACACATACACTACAAAGTGAAGAATCTTCAGGGAAAATCAGAGACATTGACTCATCGGACATCCACGAATGGCAAACTATACAACATAGTAACAAAAAACGTAAAATTAATCATCCAGCAACTCCAGCAACCTCTAAACCCCTACCAATTTTTATATACGGTGTTACTGAATACAATAAAATGGTTAATAACTGAAACTAACAAAAACAGAGACATACTATTGTACAGCATTAAAAAAAACACAATAAAAATAAATTCCCGGGACTCTGAGACATACTGAAAACTGGTAAGACATTTAAACAGCAAATAAATTGTGCATCATACGTACCAAATGAAAGTACAGAGTTGTAATTCGTAAAGTTTCTACAAGCTGAAATTATGGACTATAAATTTCACGATATACGACGCCACAGAAACTAAATCATATTGCCTTATCTGGGATGAATCCGAAGCTGGAAAACGTGACCATGAAATTGCCTCGGCATTAACTAAATGGGCTATGATATTTCTATCACAAACTGCTGTGGCAGAATTGGTTATTTGGTCAAATAATTGTCCTAGTCAAAACCACAATGTTATAGTAATGATGAGCTACTTTTGACTTTTGAATATCTGCTCTAATTTAAAAGTAGTTAACCATAAATATGTACTGAGAGGATACACTCATTTAGAAGCTGACCGCTGAAGTGCACGCTATAATTGAAAGATCTGTAAAAAACAACCAGCAATGCAGATTGTAACGCTTTGGGATTGGCAGCAATTAATCAGTTCCGTAGGTGCTCAGGTGATTAAAATGAACAAAGATGACTTTAAAAATTTTGAAGTACTTTTTGCTGTCTCAATCCCCATTCATCAGTAAAAAGAAAAATACCTACAATAATAATTTCTTCATTTCAAACGTAGTCCAATTCCAAGTAAAAAAAGATACACCTACCATAATTTTTTATAAAGAGACTTTTGAAGAAATTAGACCCAGAGCAGTTACCATTACGATATCAAAAACCGAAAGGAATGACACAAAAGAAAAAAAATCACTTACTAATTCTTTTACAATAAATCCCTAGTCAGTTTCATGAGTTCTACAGACATTTAGTTGTTACCAAAAAAAAAAAAAAAATGCTGATGATAACGATGATGAATAAATGTTTTTTTATTTATTTTTTGTGTTTTTGTTTGAGTTTATGTAGGTACTTACTATTTTGTACATTGTTTTATCTGCTGGTACATGCCGAGGCAAAAAACATTAAGTCCTAATATTATCCAATATATAAACAAATTTTTTATCACAGTAGGACAAATTGATTAACTAATATATAACGTTACAATTATATAAATACATAATTTCATATGTCTTCAGATTAAGAATGATTGCAATAATTTTCTGGAACTTATCTTATTTTCCCATTATCATAAAACTTCACTAAGTGGATATACTACCCCTTACCTCTATCTTACAGATATAGAAAAGCACGCTAAAACCATCTGTTACCAATCTTACCAGTTCCCCTTTCCATATTATTAATAGCAGTTAATAAAATTTGATCTCTCTATTTGGCTCTACGGAATTTCGCACCTAATTTTAAGCGATCTGTTACATGGATTCATTTAAATTCAAATTATATTCACGAGGTTATCGGCGCAGTATATTAACGAGGCTACTGAAAGAGTGAGCTACCCAGATAAATTGATTCTATTTTATTAAAATCAAACCTAATTTTGACTCATCGCCACAAATACAAATTTAAATCACTGAATGTACTAAAGACTCAGTTGAAATTAAAAAATCTTCAGTCATTTTTTACTTTGATCTCTTTTCATTATTGCTAATGTAAAGTAGATCAGGAAAATATGCAGAAGTGAATAAAAATTGGTCAATATTTTATTGATACACATTTATATATGTAGCAAAATAACAAATAAATCAATAAAAGAAATATTCCATAAAAAATGCTTATGCATCGATGGTGCAGTGGTAAGAATGTCAATTTATTTAGAACTTATAATTTTTTCCGTCACCATGCGACGGGAGTTTTATTCAATTGCCATCTACAATCACTCCACTCACTTTTATGACTTCCTCCAAATTAAACTTAGGACGTAAACAAAATGATATTTTAGTCTGTTTTACAACTTTCATAACAAATAAGTCAATTTTATCAATACATAAAAATTCTTATTCTCGACCATTAATTTTATATGTATATACCCTATTAAAGTAAATTTTTACCATAAAAATACTACAGAGAACTACCCACAGATATGATTAAGATGCTGACAGGTTTTTGTGAAAGTCTGTTCAGGAGCCAGCCTAAAGTCGTATCGTAAGCTTAACAGATCGTTAACTCATTGAATTGCACGCCCGAGAAAATCGGTTAGAGGCCCATTATTGAGCCTCAAGTTTGCTTTCTTATTGAGTGACAGAGTTCAATCAGTAGCTCAATGGGATCAGTGGGACGTGTCAATGCCGCCGTTTTAATTAGAGGCAGATAATCAGTGGTCTAATAAAAATAGTAACGGCAAAGGGAGGTCGGGCAATTTACGAATTTTTAATTAAAGTAAAAGGGGTTAAAAGAGGGTAATTTGGTTCGTAAGATACAACTAATTAAATAGTATATACTATATGCTATTTTTTTTGTTAAGTAATAATACTAAGTATGTTTTTTAAACGATTACATTGAAATAGGATATTCAAAAATTGCGCGAATTTCGAAATTAATGCCATTTGCATACTTAAATTTTACGAACAAAGAGCTGATAGTTAAATAATTCAAAGTAGCTAGTTATAGCTTATGTAAACAAAGATTTTCATAATAAACCGTAAAAATGTCCAAAATGGTGGATGCGCCAACAGTTTTTTTACAGCAATGGATGTTTGACTCTTTTATTACTGTGGGGACATAATGTCCCAGCGGATTTTAAAAAAAGGGACTGGGAGAATTCGAAAAAAAAAAATGAAATAGAAATTCCTGAACAAGAAGACTTACAATACACTGCTCGCGATGGGACAGTTTGGAACAAATATTCACCATCTCAGTCACGTGCAAGGTAAGTGGTGGCTCAAATGCTACACATATTTTCTTACTAAATTTGTGGGTTTTACTAATTGCGTTGTATATTGTTTAGTTCCATCAATATACTAAATCCTGTGCCAGGTCCCACCAGATATGCCACTCAACAAATTCCCGATGAACCTATATCTTCATTGAGATTGTTTTTCATTGATGAAATGCTCAATTTACTCTTAGTGGAAACTAACAGAGAACGTCATCGCATATGTAATGAAAAAATGTTAACTGTAAAAGAAATATCACTGGAAGAGTTAGAAGCTTTTATAGGTAAACACTTTCATTGCAGGTATAAAATAAATTAACTTGACATTTTGCATTTTTATTCAAGGTTGGCTTCTTCTGGCTGGTGTTCATAAAGGTGTCGGAGAATCTCTGCAAGAACTTTGGAGCAATTCTGATAATAGGCCCATTTTTAGAGTTACTATGTCTCTGAAACGATTTTGTAACATCAGCCGCTTTTTGCGAGTTGGTAATGAAGAGGATATACCTATCCGACGAAGGCACGACAAGTTAATCCAATTAGAAGTTTTTTTGATTTATTTGTAGCACTTCTCAAAATGTGTGTTTCATATGAAAGCCTCACTGTCAACGAATAACCATTGTTATTGTACCATTTAAAGGTAAGTGTCTCTTCGGAGAGTATATTCCAACAAAAATACGTGCGAAATATGGAATTAGATTATGGCTTTTATCTGATGTCAAAACTGCGTATGTGAATTGTGCAGAAGTGTATACAAGAAAAGCAGAAATGTGGTTTTGCGACTTATAAAAGATGTTCAGAATTCTGGGCGAAACATAACCACGGATAATTTTTTACTGACTACCATTTAACGACTGAATTATTAAAACGTAAACTAACACTAGTTGGAACATTACGAAAGAACAAAATATTTACTTTAAAAGAACATTACAAAACTTTTATTCCAGTTAAATTTCTACCAAATAAAAAAAAGAAGCATCATTCTCATCAATTTTTGGGTTTCAAAAGAATATGACTTTAGTTTTATATAGTCCTAAAAAGGGTAAATTCTCTCGATGTCCCCGATGCATTTAGATGACATTATTTTGGAATACAATAGGATCAAAGGAGGTGTAGATGCAACTGATAAATTAGCGTCAGCTTATATCTGCAAAAAAAGAACTAGAAGGTGCCCACTTTGCTTATTTTATAGTATTTTAGATTTGGCGTTAATCA